CGGTGCTTGAATACGAAGTGCGGATCCCGGTGACTGAATCCATTTCGAGGACGGTTTGCAGGACAAGGGGGCAATAATCCCGGGGACGGTGGCAGTCCGACCAATATTGCGAAAGTTTCCGAGCTTGCTCTTGGACTGTTAAACTTCAGCCGCTCGTCCCTTCCGGAGACGACTGACACACGACCGCGAGACAATAAGGAATACAACTCAATGTTCTGCAAAAGTCGCTAGACATTGACGGATACTCGCAATTTTTCCCGAGGAAAAAATTGCGTCATATTTTAAGAGCGAGGTACATTCGCCACGCGCATTTGTCCGTTGCTTGACAACAATAGTATACATTATTAAATGTTTCGCGTTCAAACTGTATCTATCATCAGATAAAACTGGAAGTGAGTAATTTTACAAACTTTATGAATTATTTATCTTATGTTTTGTGTAACGAGTTGGCATTTTTTGTATTAAACTTTTTATTAAACTTACACATGTAGATTAAAATAATAACAAGTAATAAATCTCAAGTTTTCTTTAGACACACTATAACTTATAACAAAATTCAAGACATAAATCTATTTATAAATTTATGTAACAGAGAAACATTAGAAAAATCGGAATATTATGTACAGTGATATACGTTTTATATCTGGATGTTTTAATTTTTCAACTGTTTTTCTTATATTACGTGTGACACAAAAATTATAAATAGATTTCTGGAACTCTGTTCTAAATTATAGGTAATCTAAAATGGATTTTCGATTAAAAGAGAAAACAGAGAAATGAGCCGCCATTTTCTTTAAATTAATTTACTATTTCTCGTAATGTTATTAACAGTGAAACAAAATTTATTTTTGTGCCGGTTCTTTTTTGTCTTTATATCTATAATAAAAACGGTTGACCAAATAGAAGTCAATGGCCATAAATTACTGAAATTTAAATATTTGCGTCATCATTACGATTTGAAAACGCGAAGCATCAAATTTGCAGGCGTCAAACGGTTTGCAATAAAATTATCGGGCGTACCGCTTACTCGCGAAACTTTCATTTAGCGGAACTATAACCCGTCGCGGATCGATTTTCCTGACGCTGCACGCTTGCGTTTACCGTGGAAATTTATGCCACCGATTCTCGCGTTATCGCGATCATTACGACCGATCCATGTGAAATCGCGGGATTATATCGGATCCGAACAGACGTGCCCTTTTCTGCCTATAGGTCTTTTTGTGACAGTAACGTATGAGATGTACACACGAGTTCGTGCGCGCAATCGATTGTAAATAAGGCTCGAAACAATGTTCATGAGGGGCTTAATCGACTTCCGTGATTCGTCAAGATCATTTAACTCATTACTCATGATTTTTTGTACAAATTCTCACAATTTCTCGCGCGAAGTATGTTTTACACCTCGTATAATTCTGTATCGATTGTTACGGATATACTCGTATATTCATATCATACTAATTTCAAGATAGACAAGAACACTTGCTCGAGAGGAAATAAAAATTTTTTATACAATTTATTTGTAGAATATTTCTTAAATTTTACTGTGATATATTAAACATTAAGTTGCAATAAGATACAAGACCAAAGTAAAGTTTTTATAAAGTTTATGCTAGAAAAATGTCCTGCTCTTTTCATGGCAAAAAAAATTATCTTTTTTTGCAATATAAACGAGACGTTTTAATTATAAAATTTTAACTGCGCAGAAGAAAAATTCTGCGATTGCTTTTACAGATAAACTATACTCGCGGTTCGTATTGTTTAATTTTATATTCGTAAATATTGGCGAGGCGACTTAACGTCTTGCCGTACGATTTTTGTGTGACTTCGCGATCTGCGGTCTCGATGATGTGTCGTGCTATTTTGTCCGGTAGAATTACGAAAATATTGTGCTAAAGTTACTCGCGCAATAACAACAATCGTAGGAACGTAAGCGATTTGGCATTACTTCCACAATTCATGAGCGTTTGCTTTAAATATTACTTCATCCTTGAAGTGAGTCTTATTAATTATGGACCCACTTCCCCTTTGTGCTTTCTCTCATATCTTGCATTATACATCAGGTCGGTGTCGAATCTTCCCAAAATAAGTATCAGAGAACTAAAAGAGATATCACCGGATAATGAAATTATAATAAAACCTCCGGCCGGTCTCCCGTGACACATAAAACAGTACGCGTGCAGGGTCACGGTGCTCGAAAAGTCAACCGTAAATGATGGATCCTGATGAGCCCCTGGATACCAGCACCGGTGGAATATCTCATTCTACGGGCGTCCTAAAATGCCTGTTAAAAGGCAACTGAGGATGGGCGCAGTAGCAAAAGCGGCGCTTCCAAATCCTTCAAAACTTCCGACGGTGATAGCGGTAGCGCCAGATGTCTACTGGCTACCGCGTCGACATGTAACTGCGTATATAGTGTAACGTGCTCGCCGTAGCGTACTTGGTAATACCCGCGGTTGGCCGTAAAGGGAGTTCACAAACGACTTGCACGCTTTTCCTCCCACCGCATTTTCCCTACCGTCCTTCAACGACCTCGCGCGCACGGAATGCGCGAGTTCGCGCTGAAAAGCGCCGGCGAGTATAGATGCGCGACATGCAGCGTTACTACGTGCCGATCCGGCCGTCCGCGAGGTTTTGCAGGGTAAGGCAGGCTCTTCCCTTTGTACGAAATTGTTCGCGGAATTCCTGCGAAGCACATCGATAAACAGTTCGCCTCGATTTCACAAGATTTAATTTCTCAGTTATATTACTGGCTAGTAAGTCATTACAATTGTATTTAGGAAAGAACTCGATCAATACAGAATTTAAATAGAACAATGCAATTTATTATCAATTTTGCATATCGCGAATCTTTTAACGAAAATGTGTGTCGTCGAACGCTAGACAGAACATACAGTTGAATTTTTTGAATAAATGAGCGTAAAAATACTTATTCGAAAAAAAAAAGTAAGAATAGATTATTATCGGTATAAGAATATGATTTAAATTAGATATGCTAGTGAGCGCCTTATCTCTGTGATTGTAACAACAGAGCGACAATTTGATAATAAGAATGATACTGATAGCAGGGAGCAAAGTTTAGATTCAAGCTGAAATAGAAACGGATACGGCGAACGTTTACGGGAAGGGAAATGGTGCTCGCCTTTGCAATAGTTTACATTTTACAATAATCTTGAACTTTGACGATCGCCAGTGGTACGAAACGGAATGAAAAGCTAGATTGTACTGCCGGTACGTGCCAATCCGCTTTCCCCAGGTTTCATATAAAAGCGATTTTCAGCTGCGAGTCTTTGGACAAGTTTACCAAGGGATGTATTAGGTAAATACGCGATCATTCTGTTTTTCCGTATATGAAGATTACGCCAAATAGTTTATTACCGGACGAAAGTTTACTTATTATTCTGTGGTCAATGCATACTACTGGAATAGTAAAAGTCCGTATAAGATTAATATTTATTTTTCCACTAGATTAAAAAGTAGGTCAGAAAATTATTTTAATTTGATGTGTTTTCGCATTTTCTAACCAATTTTAAACCCACTTTTTAATCCAGTTTTCTTAATGAAGAAAATTATTCAAACATATAGTTATATTTTTTGTTATTCTCATATTTACATATCATCGTCGATTCAGAATATTAATAAATCAGAATAATTGTTTTTCAATTTTTAAATTAAAGTAGTATAAATAATCTTTTTATCAATCAGTATTGAAATGCAACGAGCAGAAAAGAAATGAATTCATGAGGTATACATATATATCTGCGAAGAATGAGGGATTTCGGGGGAAAATCGGCCTAAACAGTTCGCAGCACATCACGTTCCCGTATAATAACGGATCGTGGAAACTCATACGCGTCACCGCTCCGTAAGCCCGCAATCTACGAGGGTAGATCCCCCATACATTTTCCAAGGATCTTTACGGCTCTCAGCGCCCTGCGCCGTGTGTACTTTAATTAGCTCGAGATTCCTCGTCTCGTTTAGCTTGACGGTACCTTTCAACCTTCGAGCGACCGATTCTAGCGAACATTCGCGAAATTGTCTCACGTGCCCGGGCTCGAGCTTTATTTGCCCTGAACTTTGGCACTCCGGAGCCAGAAGTTACTCGAGATCGAAGTTCTACGCCGAAGTGACAGCGTTGCGTTATCTAAAATCTTAATGGAAGTGACGACACGGTGATTACCTCGTCGTCGATGGGACTTTATCGCTTGGGATATGTCGCCGGCGAATGTTTGATTTAGCAATGACCGACGACGACTCGCCAACTAGGTTGATCGTAATTGGATAGTAATATGAGACAAGCGTCAAATGACCTCATGAAAGTAGATCCTGTTCTTATTGTACTACAAGTTGATGATATAAAAACGACCTTCTCATTGAACATTAGTTAAAGCGAAATGAGTGACTTGTAATTAGCGATTACTGATAATTTGTTGTCATTTTTTAAGTAGCAATTTGTACAGAAATAGAGCTGCAATTTGTGCACATTATTTTCAAATGCACTAAAAGATTCGTTTATGTGCATTTTTTTACCTTGCGTCATTACTATCTCATTAATATTACGTCATTAATATTTGTACAGTGATAATCTTTTATCAGCGTCAAATTAAAATAGGAGTATTATAAAATTTAAAACTACAAGTACGGAATTGAATCGTAAAATCAGATTATGCAACAGACTGCAATCAACTATAATTACTTATTTTAATTGCCGAACAATATTATCCATAAAAGGATTTAAAAACTGATCGGATTTTAAAATTAGAGAAAATGATTTGGAATTTATCTGATACTCTTTATAGAGATTTATGTTTGCCACATAGTTATTTATAACCATTTATAAATTGACAATAACTTTTTATTAAATGAATATTTTCAAGGAGAGTATAGAGAGAGTTAGTTAATTACCTAATTACGTAGACATTTATCTAGAATAATTCCAGAATAAATGGCACATTATTCGATTTTATCTTACATAATTTATTACTGTAATATTATTTACTGCAAGTTTGCTAGCCTCAATTATTTTCTTTCAAAGAATAATACACAAGAACATATACATGTGATTCGTGCATGTTTCGTAAGCACGTGAGTCGGCGTGATTTAGTGAATCCCCTCCAATTCCGAAGACCGTTTGGTTACGACGAGCGTTATCTATTGTAAAAGTAAAAATAGATAAACAGTCATCTGTAGATAGAGCTGCATAGTAATCATCAGCGTCGTCGCGACTACGTCGTGTGGCGAGCACGACGCGTGCGAAGAAGTCGAAAACAGATAAGTCACGGCGCGCACAACTCGGCGTACACGCCTCTCGCAGGCAGGAAGCTTTTTCGTTATCAGTCGCTGTTGCCGCCGTCGTCGCGCGCACAACTCTCACTAACAGTGGAAAGCCGGGAGCGGTACGTGCCGGCTCTCGCTTTCGCTCGCGCGAGTCCCTCTCTGTCGTTCCAAAGCGTGCCTCGTGGCGCGTCGTGTAACGTATCATAAACACGCGTGTCTGTGGCTCTACGCGCGTCATACGACAACATGACGGCCGAAAATGAGCACGGTGACCTTCGGATGCGATCGCGCAGAACGAAAAGTGTTACGAGGGCGGAGGAAATCCGGAAGGCGGAACAGATGGTCCGCAGATCGCAGCCAGATAAACCGTGAGTACGCACTGTCACAGACTCCTTCCGCTTGTCCGCTTACGCGTTCCGAGCTTTGCGTCTCCATCGGCGTGTACCGCGATGTCCGTTCGTCACTGCGACACGTTACCATCGGTACGAACGACGACGACGACGACGACGACAACGACTGGGATTGCACACTGCACTATAATAGCAGCGTGAACGGCATCAACGGCATCACCAAATACGTAGCAACGCGAAATTTTTAGCAGCCTCGTGAGACGCACGACGTAACGAACGCGCTCCGTTTAACGTGCGCATGCGTTTTCCGCATCGTATCTGACGAAACGCCTCGAGAGGGGATGCCCATTCTGGCTGCACACATTCCATCTCGCTCCGTTCCACGTTTCGTGTCCCGTCCCAACGTGCGTCGTAATCGATGCGGAGGTCAGGCGCCCGGCGTGTGGCGTGCGGTCGGCCTACAGTTCGTTTCACGGGTATGGATACCTCCGACGAGCTGATCGCGAAATAATGAACTCTGGACAGGTGAATAGCGTCGGTATTGGAGAAAAAAGAATAGCGATGTCGCGGTATTGATTTCACATTGGTTTTTTCATGGTCACTTTTGTCTTTTTTTATGACGTAACATTCCAATAAAATGAGCATATAAAACGTATCGTCTTTGATTTGTGTCAACATGTATCGAATATAATCTATGTTTATTATTACACTTAACGTTCGGATAATATTCTTAGAAAAAGAATAATTTTTTAAGAAAAGTTGATGTGTGATATGCGAATAGAGGAAAATTAAAACAACTTAAAGATACTAGCGAACATTGCACTTGATATAAACATGTTTGTATCATTAAATGAGACGTACGTGACATTAATACATCGCTTGACATGCAGTCGAGCATTTAAATATTTGGCTATAGCCACATAAAGCAGAACTTTATTAATTGTCTCTCTCTCTCTCTCTCTCTTTTTCTCTCTTGAATAAAAATATTGCGATAAAATGATCTACGGAATAATTGAATATCGTTTATGATAATAATATAGTGATTAAGAGTCTCACCTTGTAAAGTGATAGTCTCTGTTGACGTCCAGTCTTCATTCTGAATACGATTTGCAGTGAACGTGAACAACATTGGAATGGTCTCAAAATAATTTAGAAGGCTATCTGAAAAGATTGGTAGAAAATAATTAATATAAGATAGATAACATTGCGCAGAACGTGTATTAGCGCATAGTTAATATAAAATGATATTTAATCGAAATATCGGATAAAGCAACAATCTATTTTTCCTTTGCATATTTAAAATTTATAATCTCGTTAACCTTTGCTGTATGCAAAGTTGTACGTAAACGTTTATCCTCTTACGTTTTGCATGATAATGTCGATTGATTATAGACCATTTCTTAGATGATATGTACTCGCTGTTCAATTGACCTTGCTTCAAGAAATAACATTGTATTGAACTTGTTTTGACAGTGTTATTGGATCTATAGAATGTATAAAATTAGATGTCTGTATCAAGGAATATTAATCATTTATAATGCAAGTGTTTACTTCGAAGTTTTAGACTCTCGCTTGACTGGACAAATCTCGCTCGTCAAACTGGGATAAGTTTCTTCCCGATTGCATATAATTAATGTACGCTGCTTGCTATTTCAGAGCGTCACATCGAAACGATCTATCCTATTCTATCGAAGTGTCTATCATTGATAGAGTCGAACTAGAGTTTGACTGCATTATGCTTCAACTTTGAATGTAAATCAATCTTTAACGAGATTGATCGAATTCGAAGAACTTAGGCAATCGTTTTGAGAGAGTCGCAAAATTCAGCCTCACGAGAGGCACTTCGATTTCTCACAATGTTTGCAAAGAATATATAAAGTTATATAAAATATGCGAGAAAGAGAGATAAAATATATAATATAAAATACATTTAAATTTTTGTGTAAAATTAAAAAGTAGCGCAACTATAAAATATCAGTTTCAATAATAAATAGATTTATTCTTGCCGTCAAATGTTACTGATTAAAACGCATGAATGCAATATTTAGAATTAATAGAGTATTGGTTTTCAACACATTTCTTGTGACGTCGAGATACAGGTTCAAAAGTTAAGCGAGTCAATGTTTATACTTACTCGTGCCGTACGAAGTCGAAGGATTTCCAGTTTGCTATTGATTGAAAAGCGATTTTGCAGAGAAATTAAATATTCTTTGAATAAATTCTTTTTCGTTATACGATTTATTCTTTACATTATTCCAAATAATCCATATTATTTTTGCACGGCTCTTTTTATCTTCCATTAATGATTAACCTGTCAATTATCACATACCATCATATACTCGAATGAACATGGAAAACATGTTATTTTAATTGAAGTGAAACAATACCACACAAATATCAGTATGTTAAATTTGAATAATAATGTACGGTAATTAACGTTTATTTCTAATTTAACGTTCGGCATTGATATCATTTTTTTATCTTAAAAAAATGTTATTTGTTCGATTAATAATATTGTTGTCTTGCTAACTATTGCTCGTTTGAAAATAGAAATATGCTTTTTTAAATGTCGCGTCGTAGTGGGACATTTATTTTCAACAAATTGGAATCAGGCGGAACAAATATGAATGAATTGATATTGGTAAAAAGTACAAATAAACAAAAATGTCGGCATGTAAAATGTTTTATTCAAATAATATCCATAAAATGATCATGTGCAATCTTGTATATATTATACAGAGACGCCTTTTGCTATTGTAAAGAACGATGTGAAGCTTTTACATTTATAATCTAGATATCTTTCGCATTTTTAGTTATATTCCTTTGTATTCAAAGAATTCAATGCTTTCATTAATTAATATTGCGATTAATTGGTTTTAATAGAAAAATATTAAGCTCGGAAAGCTTGTATCAGTATACTTTCATACGCGCTGTCGAAGCTAAGTAGAAATTGCATAAATGACCTAATTTTATCAATGAATTCAATCTATCTCATATCATTTTCGGCCGCTTTCGTCCACTAAATATTGCAAGTGGCAAGGTTCCAGGTCAAGGTTAAGGACAACGAACTTTCGATCACGTGAATGCGCGAACAGTTTAAACGCCTTCATGCGCCCCGGCGCGCCTAATTAAACTCTGGGTCGTGCCGAGGTTTTGCTTCGACGCCTCGGCAACCCCTTCGCGAGCTAGTCGTCACTCTCCAGCGACTTCCGGAACGCGGCTGACGGTTCTATAGAGTGGAATACTCGACGAAATACGCGTACCGGAATACTAGTTTCCTGCGCCGTTAATTAAAATGTTAATTCGGGAGACGCGACAAAATCGTTCTGACGCAACGTTGTTATGCTTCTTTTTTAATAATCTATTCTCATGCAACATGCAACTTATGTAATTTTGCATAATCTTTTATAAATGTTGTTATTCTGAAAATTATCGCTTCTTTACGTCACAAGAATAATTTCAAGAAATCAAGCAAAATTTATTATTCATTTTATAGCTTTTAGATATAGCAAATAAGATTTATAGCTTTTATTTCATAATAAGTATGATTAATGATACAATGTCTATACTTATTTTTGATTAACGTTCAACATTGCTTGAGGTATATAATTTTGCTCCGAGCTCAGAAAGGATGCACGTTCGATCTTTTATTCCCTCAGTAATGTTGCAATTTTATTAAAGCTTAATTGACGACATTTCATATTATTTACGTTTCATTCTTCTTAAGATAATATTTTCTTATTTGATATGAATGAATTTTTATATAACTTACCTATATGCAACCTATATAGATTCAGGAATGCAATTGCTTTATCATCAAGTGCGTTCCCTGCTTGGTCGAGCATTCCGCTGGCAATGGAACTTAACAAATTGATGGGCCATTCATGATTTAACTGGAAGTAGAGAATACACGCTTTAGTAATCCGAATCTCTAATCAATCAAAGTATGCCGATTTTAGATCGACATGGAATCGCTCAATGCTCATTAATAAAACACTATCGATGAATTGCATGTGAAAGAGAACATAAGCACTGTAAAAGTAGCTATGTATACTTTCCTATATTTGTGTATCATAAAAGTCAATGGGAAGGATATATCAGATATTAATTTTTTATTGAATTACAATTGTGAAAATTATCGGATTTATTTACGATATATTATGGAACACATAAAATGCATTATAAAACACATTTTATTACACTCAATTATAATTCATTTAACTCATTTAATGTACCTTTGATGTATATTTAACTGTAATGTTTTTTCTATTAAATGCGAAATTGCGATACTAATTTTATACAATAGTTTTTTGTCGCAGTAGTATATCTCTGATGTGTATCGTGGATTGTTATTGTGTAATATTCTTCTATAACGACTGATATTGGGAAAAATATTATATTATTGAAGAATTGTGAAGTGATTTAAATAACGAAATATGAGAATAATTAAAATGAACGGATAAAATGGATGCGTATTTATAATTCGAAAATATTGACTTTAACGAGAGATAAGCTCTCAAATAATAAAAAAAGAAGATATTTTGGCAGATGTGAAAGCGTACGGTGCTGAAATGAGAAGAAAGAGAGCTGTGTAAAAAAAATTCTGTTATTCTTGCTCTCTAAAAATATCGCGTACTTTGTTATGCGTCAACTTTTACCTGTCTCGCACGTGTATATGCACTTTTACAAGTATTCCGCTCGCCACATCCTCCGCCAAGACGGGGAAAAGAGGGAAAGACAGAGTAAAAACTACCCTCCAACACGGTATAATGACTTGCAAACAAGAGTTTCTTGTTCTCGAAAATGGCGAGTCTCTTTTGCCTCCGCGTTGCAGCTTCTTTTCTATCTTAGCGCGCGCGCGCGCGCGCGCGCCTCCTTTATTCTTTCCGACTCGCTCCTTATGCCGGCGCGGATCCATTCTGGAACAAACGATCTTTATATTTACTTGCGGCGTGTTTGTCGAGCGCTTTCGCGAGTTTGCAATTAGACGCGCGATGGGTAGGAGCCTACAGTCAGAC